TAGCTTCAAAATTTTAGCTGAAACAGACTAATTATGTACGTACTTTTTAACTAATTGATTTGCTAGGGATTTCCCCTGAATTCAGTATCCAGTTTCTAAGAGAGAATAACATACCACCTACCTGAAACAATTTTCTTTCTCTTCCAGGGAAAACAAGTCTATCATTCTGCAAAACTGGTGTTTATCATTACTTACTTGAAAAATTTAGTTTTTTTTCAAGCAAAAAATAAATAAGACTTTTGTATAGAATAGGTTCTTTTTAGACACACACTTTTTTTTTTCTTACTTTAAAAGGTTTTAACATTGCTTACCCAAGCATATCTGTGTTGTTGACTGTGGCAATAATCAGTTAATTTGCTCGTTTGGATAATGTTATCTTTGAGAAATGTGCCACAATATTCAGATACTCATTTTCTTGTCAATTGGCATTTGATCTTTTTCTTTTACTCTGTGTGTGTGTGTGTGTGTGTGTGTGTGTGTGTGTGTGTTAAGTATTACAAGGCTTCTAAAGGACGCTTGAACAACTCTTAAATAGGTGAGCACGCTGAGTTTTCAGTATCAACGATGGTCCTGTAAGGACAAGGTGAAAAGTGTCAGTTCAGTGACATAACTATTATAGGACAAGGAAACAGGCAAGGACTAGCAAGGGCAAAGAGAAAAAAAAAAAACATCCCTAGCCTAAAGAGGCAAAGAGGGTTTAAAGAGATTAAAGGAATCTCAAAAGGCCAGCTGCTGCCAGAGAAAGGCAGACTCAACAGAGCTCCTGCTCTCAGTGACATCCAGCAGAAGGGTTGACACACTGACAACCCTGACCTGATCCTACCCTTCTCCCTAATGTCTTGCCAGGACTATGTAGGCTGGACAGGAAGCCCTTCATCAAGGGACCCCATTGATGAAGACTACAGATGTCTGTTTCGAAGAGTAGGTTGTGGAGGGTTGGAGACTGCCTCCAAAGAAGTAAACAGATACATGCAAATGTTAGCTACTCTTCAGGTCCATCTCATTTGCCAAAGTATTTATATCGGCTGAATCAGTGACCAGCAGTTTTAGGAAATTAGAGTGATTCCTATCTTCCCTGACATTGACCTTCTCTTCTATTTACTAAATAGATAAGTTAACTCTTCTAGAAAATCCATAGTCCCACACCACAAAGCTTAATGATGTGCTAAAGCTTATGCAGACAAAAAAAACTAATGAATAATCAAGACATCTCTAATAGGGAAGGAGTGCCGTCTCCCTGCCCCCCGCCCCACAAGATATGAAGGGGGCTGTCCAATTGACTGTCAACATTAGCTAGCACCCTAGTGTTTCAGCGGAAATTGTTTTGAGGGGACATCCAGTATACAGTGACTGGTCATTTTATTCTGATTTTTTTCTCCTTATACCAGCTACATTTGGCTTTTTAAGTGTGTGTAGATCACATGAGACTAGAGAAAATTTAGCAAATGACAGGACGTTGAGGTCAGGTTACCAGAGTTATGGATATAATCTATAAGTTAAGTTCATTGCACAAAATGAAGCTTGGAAATTGACTAAGAGCCTAATAGCTAGAGTAAGGAGGCAGAGTATTAATAATTAATAGAGTCATTCTACGGCTACACTATGATGGATCTAGTACCAGCAGCATCCTGGGTAAGCTGCCTGGCTGCTCTACACCAGCTGAATGACAACATCTCTATCACCGAGTAAATGGTGCACAAGAAACACTCGACACATTTTATTCGGCATCCTTCTCCATCAGATTGTGGAGTGCACACTTCTAGGACTGAACCACGGCAAGCTTCCAAAAGGTGCTTTCACCAAATCACCATTTGCCTTTCATGCTGTATTCGGACCTGAGTAACACTGAGAGTTGCTACCAAGATTCCACACCCAGGAGTGCCCACAGATGGAACACTGGGTGCTCATTTGCCTTACTGGGATTCCATGTTTGGTAACTTAATGTCCAGCTGAAAGTATTCATGTCAGGAACAAATGACTATTATTTTTAAATATTTTTGGCCATTTTTAACTGTCTTTTGGTTCAAGCTGTTTCAAAGCTAATAAAATCATATTGCATAGAAAAAAAAAGAAAGAAAATAAACAAATGGCCACAACTTAAATCCCTCTCCACTTCCCTGTGTGTGATGCAGATGTGGGGCTCAATAACTCATCCACTGACTTTATTATGAATAATTTCAAATATAGTGAATAGTTCAAAATCATTTAGTCATAGCTCCATGCCACCACATAAATTTAGTAATAGCCATATCATAACAATTCTGAAAATAATGGGGACATTAACGGAATTTGTGATTTGCTGTTGGCTCGTAGCTATCTACAATCTCCCGACAGAGTCACTCAAGTGTTGTCTTCACTGTGAATTCATCAGTGAACATTTCCCTACTCATGATGTGGGGATTCCTTTGATGGGGAGCTACCCAGTACCTCACAGGTTGAACTCTTTTATTATGTAATGGAAGCTCATGCCTTGCTTCAGCTGGGCCAAGACCTGTTGTGTCCTCTGCTTTCTTTTGTTGACCACATAACTCTTGCTTCTTCTCACTCTTCCCAGATTTCCAAAGGAATAATAATGGCGACAAAATTGGCAAAGTGAAACACAGGATGGCCAGTTAAAATGGAATTTCAGATAATAATTGCAAGACATGTGTCCCTGAGACTACACAGAACTACTCATATTGGAGAATATTTATCAGATATGTAAATTGACATAAACATCTTGTATGTTATTTGTCAACTTATAAGTTTGAAGAGCCTTTGAAGAGACTAGAGAACAGACCGAATGCATCCATGAACACGGGTCCAGTCACCGGATCATGTTTAAAATGGTGCATTTCATCTACTACCACACCAAAGACCTTATGAAGCAGCTCAGTGTCGTGCTGGGTGAGGCTCTGTGATGTCATTGGTCTGGGGTGGGCTGGTGCATGCCAGAGAGCCAGACTTAGCAGTCACTTCTGCTTTCTCCCTACCCTTGATCCTTCCATCAGAACCACTCCCAGATCTCTTAGGGCAGTACCTCAAGCATAGGTCCAGTGACCAAAATATACCAACGTTCGCGATGTCTCAGAGCCAGTACAATGTCACCTCTGTCTTGGTATTAGGCACAAAACCAGATCCTTCCACAGGTATAATAATGGGTCTGGTATCTGTACAGAGAATGCCTGCCAAGTCATGGGCCAACTGTGTGCGTGAAAGGCAGAGAAATAATAGGGACCCAAGACATTAATAATAAAAATCTTATACCCAAGTTATAATTTTAAAATGTTGTAAAGAACCCATCAGGGTGAAATGCCTAGCGATTTAGCATTATATAGCTCTTCAACATTCAACATTGAGAATCTGAAAGTGCTTCTCTGTCATTCCTGTCTTCTGTTCTCGTTATCATCTTGAGGAAATGGGGGGGGGGAATTTGTCACAGACTTCTCAGTTGAGAGGAAGTGATACAATTCTAGAGCAGCGTGGGCAAGACTTTTCAAAATCCCCAATTAACGATTCATAGACTGGCACATCTCCCATCCCACGCAACCTATAAAAGATTAAAACTACTTCTGTAGATTAAAACCTGCGGTAGAAGAAATCTTTGTTTTCAAACAACGGGTTCTAAAAATAAAACATGGCAACATAGTTGATGGCTCCCACAATTCTCACTGGCTTTCCTCATCCGGTTCCTGTAAGTGACCAATCACTAGCAGCATGAGAGGATATTTTTTTCTACGTGTTCGGCTATAATGCACAGAATCATTTATCATAGTTTATACTTTTAGTAACTGTTGCTGTGAAACCCATCCTGTTCTACAACTTTTTTTTTTTTTTTTTTTTTGCTGTATCTGTGCTAACCCAGGACTCTTGTTTGAGGACTGTATATTATCTATGATGAATATATCCCAGCGTGGAACACTGATAAGGATACATACATAGCTGTCACATCTTACTGATGTCTCCTTTACATGTTGGATAATTTTTGAGGGTATAAGCAAGGGACCTCTGATTTACAGCACGTTTCCTAGCAACCGTCAGACCTCACCCCATTGTTGCTCCTTATTTTTGATGTTTACTACTTTGGTTCTTACAGCCTTGCTGAGATGGTAACCTATGCATTTCCTACTTACTGTCTACTATTTCTCTGACTAGCAATGAAAATATTATTTGCCATGTTTGCTAGCCTTTTACATTCCTTATCCTGCTAACAAATTCACCCCTTTACATACCTAAAACACATTGCTCCAATGGGCCTTATTTGTCTTCTTGGCACTTACATTTCACATCTTAAAGGTTGGAGATTCATCATATCTTTTATGACAGCATCATATATTTTAAACAAGTTTTCACATGCTACAGTCTGAAAGCACCAATTATGTCCTAAGTTTTCAGATGTTACTTTGAAAGCCTTCAATCTGACACAAACACATTGATAATATAGTTTGAAGTAAAACCACACTTTTCCTCAAGTAGACAATTGTCCAAACATTAATTTTCAAAAGCCTGCTCTTTTCTGTACTTGTTTAAAATGATAGAACCTAGTATCTGTGTAGAAGGTTCTCACTCTCAGGTGTCAAACAAGGAACAACAGCAGCAGGAACCAGCCTAAGTATTTTCTGTGATTGCATCAGAATATCAGGGCGTCACTATTCCCTGGGAAGCCCGATATATGGAAAGCATTAGTATTGTGTGCATGCTAATAGTTGACAGAAATATGTCCATCAGGGCTGGAGAGATGGCTCAGAAGTTAAGAGCACTGGCTGCTCTTGCAGAGGACTTGGGTTCAAGTCCCAAAACCCACCTAGCAGCTCACAACTGTCTTCTTCTGGCCTTCACAGGCACTGCGTGCGCGCGCGCGCGCGCGCACACACACACACACACACACACACACACACACACGGTGCACAGGCAGACATGCATGCGAAACACCCATACACATAAAATTTCAAAACAATGCATTTTCTTCATAAGTTATTCAAATATGCTAGTTAACACAAACCACACTGGAAACAACAGACTTCAAATATATAACTTGCTTTTATTAACTGGAAAAAGAATTCATATTTGTCAAAATGGCAGATACACCAGTATCTTTAGTAAGATTCAAACCGTGTCAGGCTGTTTGAACAGTCTCTGGAATAAATGAGCCATTAAATTTTTAAGGAAATTCAGAACATCAACATGTTCTAGACTCTAGCATCACTATAAGCCAAGTACACATCAAGTATTGTTCCCCTTAACCAGTTGGCTTCCAGGAAAATATATATTATTATTTAGACAATTAACATCTGAGCTTCATAAATGACTAATACAGCATTTTATTTTAATTAAATCAACATTTTATAAACTTCTAACTAGTCTTTAAAGTTTTGAATATGGACATAAACTAGCCTCTGTTCTCCCTATATACCAAATGGGAAATACCTGCCATAATATATCAACATTTTCATAGGAATATTTTAAGACTTCTGGCATTAGAAAATGTGTAATATCTGTGCAACACCATCATAATTATATACAAAAAGCATCTTAAAATCTCCTTGTGCAATTTAACTACTAAAGGTTAAAGTGATATATTTAAAAAGTAATATTCTTATTTCCTATAGATCTGGCACTCACTTGTAATTAAAGAATGCACAAAATAAGTCTCACATGAAATGGTTCCTCAATAAAAATAACTGAATATTATTTATTTGATTTACTAGTTTTCGATATCTTTCAGCCAAAAAGGCTTTATTCTAATTTATGTTTCCAATTACAGTCTAATGCTGAGGCAGTAAATGTTAGTCTGTGCTTGCCTGTTTCCCTGTCATACAATATGTCCATAAATCTCAATACACACCTTTGTTTCATGGTACACAGTATGTCCATAAATAAAACAAAAAAAAATCACTAAGCTGTGATTATTCAGCAGTAGGGGGAAAAAACCAAGTCATTTACATCTTGTTTAGTTTCTAAAGCAGCACTGCTTAGTTATGACAAATAAGACCAAACGTTATTATAAATTATAAACTCTAGCCATGTTCCTTTTGGCATTAAATCCATAACACAAATGCTTATTCTTGAATAGATTTATATATTAGTGTACATCTGAATATACATCTTCCGATATCCCTTGTACGCAGAAGGCTGGTCAGTGAAGTGTGTCACAGCAGGTAATGTTAGCCACTGTCCTGGGCATCAGAGGACACAGCATGGCTGAGTCCTGACTTTCCATTCACAGCTATTGTATTGGACGGAACAGTAACCTAGGAGGAAGAAACACATTTTGTTCCCGTCAGTTTTTATAAAATGAGACAGCTGTCTAATGTTTAACAATCATCACATTATAACTTCTGCTTAACTGAAAACGTTAGCATTCAGTATTTATCACTCAATGATTTACAAATAATTAAGAATAAATGCTCACTCACTCGTGAAACGGAAAATGAGATGCTTGCTATTTCCACAACAAACAAGTTAAATAACCCATCAACATATCTTAGTCTTTATAAAATTACCAAGCCAACAGAAAAGACAAGAACACAGACAGACTGCAGGCCAAGCTGTCACAGTGCAGTTTTAGCTATGTGAATCCTGGCTTCTCAGAAGTGCTTTGAAAAAAAAATGGATTTTGCAAAATTTTACAAGTTTGTACTAATACCAGAAAGTAGTTTGAAATCCTTCTCTTACCAATTCTCTATATATTTAAAACAAAAGCATCCACCACCAAAACTGGGTCTTTAAGAATTCTTTCATGGTAAGGGCTACAGCCAACTGTCAAGCCTGTGACTATTAGACCTAGAAAAAAGGAATGACGGAAAGGCTTTACAGGAAGCTTCAATCAGCCTTCAAAACTCAATGCCTGAGTGTTCTATTTGCAAAGCACTGGAGAAAAGAAAAGAAAAGGAAATAAAAGAAAAGAAAAAAAAAACAATCATTCAAGACAGTCAAGCAGGATGGTATACACAGCCATCCCAGCACTTGGGACACTGGGGTGGTGTGGGAAGTCCTTCTGTATTTGTGTTGTTTTAATGGTTAATAAATAAAGAACCTGCTTTTGGCCAATGGCTTAAAAGAATACAGTCAGGCTGAAAAAGATATAGAGAGAGCAGGCAGAGCCAGGGAGAAGCCGTGTAGCTGCCAGAGGAGAAGACACAAGCCGCCAGCCAGAACCTTGCCAGTAGGCCACAAGCCTCGTAGTCAAACATAAAATAATAGAAATGGGTTGAGATGTAAAAGTGAGCTAGAAATATGCATAAGCTAAAGCAGTGTCGTAAATAATACAGTTTCTGTGTGATTATTTCTGGTCTGGGCAGCTGGGAACAAACAAACAGCTTTCCTACTACACTGAGGCAGAAGAGCTGCAGACCAGAATGTGATGGAGAGTGAGACCCTTCCTCCCTCCCCACAAAACACAAGTTTTCCAAATGCCTTGGAATTCTAAGGTTTTTTTTTAAAAGACTTAGAGAATGTAAAAAAAAAAAATATGGATCATGACTAGTAAATACACACATGTCACATGTAAAATACAGTAAAATATTACAAGAAAACAATCTCTACATTGCAATTTGAGCAGCAAGGATTTACAAACAAGAATTGCTATCTTTGAGTAAGTAAGAACTGACAGAGGAATGGGCACAGATCCTGTGAGTAGAGCAAAGGAGAGAAAGAATATGTTTTTGTTTGCACTTTGGTTCCTGCTTCGCATTAAACGAGGATTTGGTTCTCTGTGGTAATGAATTTCCTGGGGGGCTTGATCAACTAAGATGAAGCTCAGCAGATGAAGCCACACAGTTGAAATGACAACTAAGGACAGCTGCCACCAAAGCAAGGGTCCTCACCTAAGCCCACTTAGTTGTCTGGTCACGTGGGCTACTTTCCAGCATAAAAAGCCACAATAATGACTTTTCGCTGCCGAGTTTTAATCCTGAAGCTTTTCTGCGTGAGAAAATTGCCTTTGTAATTCATGCTATAATTACAGTTCTCAAAAACCTTCTGTAAAAAGGTTTATTTTTCACTTGCGTGTGTGTGTGTGTGGTGTGTGTTGAGGTATTTGGGTATGGGATGCCTGTGTGTGCGTGTGGAGGCCACGAGAAGCTATTAGATCCCCTGGAGCTGGAGTTATAAGCCTTCGTGAGCTGCAAGGCAAGGTGCTAAAAACTGAACTCTGGTCCTCTGGAAGAGCATCAAGAGCTCTTAAACCACTGATCCCCTTCGTAATTGTTTATAAGAAACAAATGTATTCACAAAACTATATAGTGGAGGCTTTCAATATTCATCCGGTAAAATTTGTTCATTGGAATGTCATAAACAGAACCCAGCTCATTGTCCACTAATAAGCAGTCAATGCTACAGTGCCATTCATATTCAGAAGGATTAATGCTGGACTATAGAAACAACTGCACCTGCACCTCACAATGGACACCTGCAAACAAAGGATCCTAATCAAGAAATCATCACGTATGTCTACCATCTCTCTCACTCATGTTTACTCATATACTCAGTAGCCCTTGTTATCTATCTTTTAGAAGAACAACAAAGAAAACGCAGCTCAGCCCCAACTCCATACTGAATGTTCTGTTTTCAGTACTGATCAGTGCATGGGAAGACAGGGCTAGAGTCCTCTGCCTGAACTGCAGGGTCAGGGCAGGGCTGGATGTCATGAGCAGTGGAAATCCGTATTTGCACATCTTCCTGCATTATCTTATGCTCTGTTGTGTGAGCCTTTGGGGCAGCAGTTAATGGTGTAAATGTCGGAGAGAAAATGAAGTAGCAAAGTAAGCATGATTTCGTTAAAATGCTATTCATTTTGTATTTGTACTAAAACTTCAACAGCTTTTAAAAAAAGAACTACAAAAATTCACAATAAAAGCAAAACTGGCAACCAATAAATGGTCTGGACAGCTCACAAATGACCTATAATGATTTTTTTAAAATGTCCCAAAACTCCAGCCATCAGAGCAACTGAAACTAATCTGAGATTCTCTTATCCCAGTCAGAATAGCCACCATTCAAGAAAAAAATGATGCCAACAAATGACAGCAAAGACGCGGGGAAAAATAAAAATAACCCTTATCCACTGTTGGAAGTGCAAAGCAGTAAAGCTACTGTGGAATCAACATAAGGGTTTCACACAAAACTAAAAAAAAAAAAAAAAAAAGGAGGAGGAGGAAAGGAGGAGGAGGAGAGGAGAAGGAGGAGGAAGAGGAAGAAGAGGACGAGGAGGAAAAGGAGGAGGAGAGGAGGAGGAGAAGGGGAAGAGAGGAGGAGGAAAGAAGAAGAAGAGGAAGGAGGAGGAGGAGGAGGAGGAGGAAGGGGCGGAAGGGGAGGAAGGGGAGAGGAGGAGGAGAGGAGGAGGAGGGAGGAGGAGGGAGGAGGAGGGAGGAGGAGGAGGAGGAGGAAGAAGAAGAAGAAGAAGAAGAAGAAGAAGAAGAAGAAGAAGAAGAAGAAGAAGAAGAAGAAGAAAACATATGCCCTTGCTATACTATACTCGACCTGGGCATTCTCAAGTGATTCCATATCCTACTTTAGGGACACTTGCCATGTTTATCACAGTCACAAGGAAATGAATCTGCCTAGACGTCCATCAACAGATAAGGAGACAATGAAAATGTGGTATAAATACACAAAGGGATTTCAGCAGTAAAAAATGGAATTATGAAGTTTGTAGGAAAATGGCTAGAACTAGAAAATCCCATATTAAGTAAAATACGAGAGGCACAAAGACAGACATATGCCATATGATCTCACATATACACGGAACGAGCAACTAACCGCTAACTATGCATACTCAGGTATAGCGGCTAGTTTTCTGATCACTAACTATGCATATTCAGGTTTAGTGGCTAGTTTTCTGACAACATGACACGAACTTGTGTTACTTGAGAAGAGGAAACTTCAGTTGAGAAAATACTTCCATTAGACTGGCTCAGAGGTAAGTAAGTCTATGTGGCATTTCTTGTTTAATGACTGATGTGGTAGAGCCTAGCCCACTGGGCACGTGGCTCCAGGTTGTATAAAAAAAGCAGCTACGCCAGCCTTGGGGTGAGAGCCAGTAGCAATGTTTCCCCCATGCTCTCTGTTTCAGGGTCTGCCTTGAGTCCCTGCCTTGGCTTCCCGATGAGGAGGCAGTAACCTGGAAGACAAATTAACCCTTTCTTCCCCATATTGCTTTTGGTCATGATCTTTAAACAGCAGAAGAAACCTAAGCAGGATACCAGGTGAGGCAAATAAGGATCAAGGCCATTAAAATAATAAGAAGCAATGTACGAGGGGTGGAGGAGGAGGTCCTTTAAGGGAAGGGAATGGGGAAAACGAGAACAAAATGAAGGAGTACAGTCACTGGGATGACATGTCAGGGTAGGAGAGCAAGTAGGCGGAGGAAGAAGTTAGGGGAGAATCAACAAAAATTTAACATGTGTGAAATAAAAAACTTCGTACAGAAGTCCAATACTTTGGAAGCTAATTTTAAAAAACAGTCAAATAATGTATTCTCTTAAATAGCATAGTCTACCATTGATGGGAAACTCGAGAGAAGTAAGTTTATAAATTATTTCCAGAAGAATCCATCGTACAAACTAGATTTGTCAATACACTAACAAAATATTCTGGAAGGTTATATAGCAGTATGTGAGATGCAATTACCCACATGCCTACAAGGATCTCAGCACTTTGAGAAGTTGCGGCAGAGGGACTGTGAATGCAAGACTAGCCTGGGCTACAATAGATAGATCAGTCCCTATCTCAAAAAAATAAACGAATAAAGAGAAGTTACCTTACAAGAGAAAAAAATCATTTCTTTGATATTTAAAAATATGAGAAGATATCATTAATATTCTTTTCTATGAATCTATAAACCCTAGGATCAGAGATCCTGTCTATTGGAGCCCACTTTATCTCAAAGCTTCTTTTGGTGCCTGTCACGTCCTAGTGCTAAAGAGTATTTCTTAAATGAGATACAACAACTTCTAAGAAACATTCTGAAACTAAAGCATTACTGACTTGAACTATGCACATAATTTACTTACAACAGAATTACTTTTTGAAAAAAATTATTTTTAGTTTATGTGTATTCCCAGCATCCACAGAAGTCAGAGGAAAGCATTTGATACACCAGAACTGGAGTTACAGGCAGTGCGAATGGAACCGGGTCCTCTGCAGGAACAGACAGTTCTCTTAGCCCCTGAGCCATGTCTCCAGACCTGCAGTAAAGTTACTTTTTAAAAACTAATGTTTAAGAACTCACTGATGCGCCTCTTGATTCTATGTCCTTGATGCTTGAAGAAATTCTTATGAATAATCACAAAATTTGAACTGTGGCTATGAAACACAACACTACCTATTTTTCACACAGAACTCATTTAGAGAGAACTGTCAACCTGTCCGTGATCCTTTGTTTCAAATCAAGCAACAAAAAATAAGAATAAAAGGCAAGCAATTAAACAACACAAGTTAGTGCGCCTGTGAAAGACTTCCTGTTCCTTCCGTATATCCATCCAGTCAAGAAGAAATTTTACATTCTGAGGCAATCTACAATATGAAGTATAAAACACAAATTTACTTTAGACTCAATTTTTCAAAGCCGTATTCTATTTATAACAATGTAATGGCCCGACTTTCAGCAATTTTTGAACAACACAAAGCACCAAAAGCAGCCAAAGTCCTTGTGTCAAAGTCGACCAACAATAATGGATGACCTCACTCCCTTCTCTATGAACAATTTGATGATTCATGGGTAAATCTTCACACCGGACACAATTTTAATATTGTGCTACGCTAATTAAAGCTTTGTATGAAGACAAACTAGTCTCCATGACTACCTGTTAAGTAAATGGGAGTAAGGTATAGAAAAAAAACCAGAGAAGCATGAAAATATCACAGTACGTTCACAGCCACAATCACACAATGAACGGAATATCCCAATGCAAGGTAGCTACTCCAATGAAGGCTCCCTGCTCTTCAGGAACCAGAGCCATGGCCAGGTTGGTACCTGGAACTAAACTGAGCATTTTAAGTTCAAAGATACAGGTAACCATGGAGCCAGCTCCCCTTTCAATATTCAGATTGTTGTCTGGCCTGAGCTTGTGGAGGACTTTTATACGCTGTCAAAGCCACTGTTGAGTCCATATGTGTTACAAGGCATGCCCAATGGTACACCAATGGAATGGGTGTTGTGGAGTAACCACCCACTTTCTGATTGGATTTAAAGCCTGCTCCATAAGGTGAATCTCATACCTGGACCAGTCCATGGAACCCCCAAACCTCTGGCTAAACAGGTCACAGGCGGCCCTAGGCTCAAACCTGCCACTATCATTCTGCAACATAGACAGTATTAAACCAACTCCTGATGGTTATCATTATAGTCCTAGATTAGTGCATCTCTCGTGAGGATGAAAGTGGCTTCTTTTTGGCAGTAGATGGCAGGCAATTCATACAGACTCATGACTGGTCAAGAGGTATAGATGGAAGACAACCAGAATGCTCATCCAGAAAAGGGACATCTATATCACAACTCCTCTTCCTCCTCCCCGGTTCAGGGATCTTGGGTAAGAGAAAGCTGACAGAATCAAAGAGTCAGAAGTAGTGGACAAATAACAAGGGAACTGTTTTCTAGACACATCGGGTTGCATGAGGCCCAACTTTTAGCTGAGGAGCTACCGACTACTGACATCTGCTGGCAATGGGAAAGTCAGTTTGAAGGGTGTGACTCCAGGAGGTGCTAACCACACATCTGTAGTTAGCCAAACACCCGAGAGGATGTGAGTAACACAAACTGGACTTGGTGGGCTTAAAAAAAAAAAAAAAAAAAAGGACGCAGAATTCGGTAAAGGATAAGAAGGAGATCTGGAAAGAATGGGGCGAGGAAATGAATGTAACCAAAATACCTCACGTGAAAGTCTCAAAGGAGCAAGGCAAAAGCTGTCTAGAAGACAATATGAAGCTGAGAGACGGTGGGCAGACAGACGAGCGAAAGAGCAGGAGTGGCGGGGAACCTGCTCAACATACAGTGTATAAACACAAAAACAATCAAAGAACATTTAAAATAATGTTCCAGTAAGACGCTCTAGTCTTCAAAAACACTACTATTTATCATTTTTAGAATTAGAGTTGTATTTGTTTAGAACTTTCCAAAAGACACAATATGAGCATGCTTATATGTAAGTCTTAGTATGCAAAAATAATTTTTAAAAATAGATACTATAGCTGAAATGCTGGTCACTGAGTTTAGAGACTGAGTATTACTAGCTCCTTTAGCCACTTTCCGTGAACTAAAATAGATTATGGATGAAATGTTCATTAAAAAAAATCATAGGAGTTGGCACTCTACAGGCTCCAAGCTGTTAATAACTTCCTACTCAATGAGATAAAGTTTTCTACTCAATAGAATCGGAAGTAATGAGTTTTAAATAGGATACAATTACAGGCGCATCATTTAGGCCCCCTTTTCTGTTGGTTCAGATCCAGCTCTTTCTGGAAGCGCTGAGAGTTTACTATGTGAAAGCCTTGCCAAATCAGGCCCAGGAATCCACCAGTTAGTGTCCTGCTGCTGGCCTGAAACACATCTGCAGTTCAACGCACAGTGTTCTGCAATGTGTCCATACGAACTGGTGAGTGTATGCACCTGCTCATTCCTGAAGCGTTGTGTTTAATACCTGTGTATACACCAGGCTCTCCTGTGGATAAATGCAACACTGGTTATCGGGCCCAGGCTATAAAGAAGGCAGTGGCTTGGCTTATTCACCTTACTGCCCTTGATATCTAGAAAAATGTTTCTTACTGAATTTAGGAATCTTAGATTGGTGGTAATTGGCTTGAGGATCCTTTGTATCTTCCTGGATCAAAAACAGAAAATATTTCATCAACGAGAATGGGTTACCTATTGACACTAGCAGATTTCCCCCTTGACAAAGAAATTTGTGAGGACTGATAAAATGTTAATTTCAATATTTAAATCTATATGGACTTTTCTGATGCCTTGGTACTTATATATAATCTACAAAGTCCTCTGAATTATTCCTTCATGTTTCTATCATTCTTGAAACCACTTACTATTTTGCTTTGTCTCAGTGCTTGCCCAGGACAAAGTGCCAACTCTTCTGGAACAACAGTAAGACACACATGCATGCACACACAGGCGTGCACGCAGGCATGCACGCAGAGACACTGCCCTGGACAGTTCTACATGGCAAAGGTTGCTCACACATGAAACCCCCAGTGAGTCAGTTGACTCAGAACTTCCACGCTGAGAGGCTTCTCAGCCGGTCACCCTGTCCTGTGCTCTCCCAGGGGACAAAGGTGGAGAGAGAGGCGAGACCAGCCTGTGACGCTCACGCTCTGTCCAGAGGAATCGAGCCCCCATCATTGCTCTCTCTCCTACAGGTGAGCAAGAATGCACCATATCATGTGGTTGGCACTCTGCATATGGGCTCTGGGTGAGCTCTGCTCTGCATTCTCTAGACTCCCCTCCACTTACTACAGCTGATGTTCCTTTTTGTAACTGTCCTTAAAAGTCACACACAATAATTACTTTGACCACTGAGAGATGACTGCCAACATAAATGTTCCCACTAGTAAAAGTCCACCTTTTCTGGAAAAAAGTGGGGGGGCATTTCAAGAGATTCTTATGGTGCTAACAAAATTCCTTAAAATAAGAGTCAAGGTTAGCTTTTTACATATGCAATAATGAAAGCAGTCATATTTTGAACTTGGCCCACAGAGTGGGGGAAAGAAACTGACACATTTTTATGTATGGGAATACTCTGAAATCCTTCAGTTTATACTTCAAAAATGACTCGTAAGATAAAAGAATAATTTCTGACATCTTTCCTGTTCATATTTGAGTGTTAGAAGACCCACTCCCTCGCTCAAGTATTAGTTTAACAAGGTGAAAATAAATCTGCTGTTGCCCATCTGCTAGGGAAAACTTACTCTCTTTAACTTTGAGGCAGCCTCTCCAGAACGGATTGCGGTCAGCAAGCTCTGCCGAACCTGCTCCGGGTCAGAGCTTTGGAATGTTAGAGAACTCTGCCTCTTAAGGGTGAGCAATGGGCCATCAGCTGGAGTCAGCATTTGAGAACTCTGTTCGTTCGGTACAGGTTTATTTTTCTACAAAAAAAAAAAAAAAATGAATGCAGGGTATTTTTATGAATTCCAAGAGAAGAAAGGCCTACTTTTACAAACTGTGTTATCAAGAGCCCTTTTAAGACCGCACTTGTTGTGCTAATGATGCAGACACAGGTCTGTATCTCCGCCCTTCACTCAGCTGTCTCTGTTGATGGATCCCAGCTGGGAGATGAACTCCCTACCTTCCTGTCTTAGCAGAGGAAGCTATGGAAGAAAAATGCTACCTCTTTTTTTGTTTCATGAACAAAGTGGCAATTTTACTGTGTGTAAATCAAAGAACACTGATATTGCCAGCACAGAACTGGCAACCAGTGCCAAAACTCAAGATAAAAAAAATCCCACCAACTGAAAAACAACCCATTTTCACGGTTCTAACATAGTCGGGAAAATGTACAAAGCTGTTGAGTATACCAACTATTTCATACTTTAGAATCCAATGTGCCATTTAACAGGGGACTATCGATGTCTCTACTACACTTTACTGCCTGAGTTTTTTTTTTTCTTTCTAGAAGCAAGAGGAACCATGGACTGACTAGGGTTTTCCCCCATTAGATTAAAAATAAATGTTAAGAACTTCCAAACTAAATACTCAGAAATTCAATTAAACCTCTTAAGAACAAATATTTAGCAACTGATGTAACCTTGGAAGTGTTATATCAAGCAATCTTAAAAATGTCTTTTACAAACTGTCAAATTCCTATCTTTACTTTTTCAGTGAACTAAATAATAAATCCGAGGCAGTGTCTTAAAACTGTATCGACAAAATTAAGCTATTATCATTTAGGAACGTGATACATTTCAGGGAAAAGGCAGGCTCTACCTCTAAGTCCAAAATCCATCACTCTATCACACATACGTCCTGATGTTGGATAACACCGGTAAACAGAAATGTCAAATGGACGAGGAAATATTCTTCAAGATAAATACTGCCTCGGCAATAAAGAAAATATTTACTTGGTACCGGGGTCACTGGTCTCTTAGTCTAGGAGTGTTTGAAAAAGCTGTAAAAAGAACTCCTGGAGCTGCCACACAAACATGGAAGTCTTCTTTAAACACCACCAGAGCAGAGTACACACTGTAGGTTTTTAAAGATGGCTTGTGGATTACCATGAATCACACTGTTAATTTCAGAGCCTCCTTAGACTATTTTATGGGAACCCAGAAAGCAAGAGGCTTAGTTGACAATTCAGGTCAACAGGACTTTTTTAAAAACTACCATGATTGGATGGAAGTTTGATCTACATGTATATTATGGGAACTAACATAATGGATAATTAAGAAAACTACACTTTAAAGCCACTTCCATTTTCAATTAAGTTACATGTGATAGGTTTGGTAAGCTGAGGTTTAACACATGTGACAGACAGGCAATGTACAACTGAGACACATCGGGACCCTCCAGTCTCTGACACCATTTGTTTCAATTAAAACTACCTACTTGGCTATTACATACTGCTATAAAAGTGGATAAAAAAGAAAGTAAATCATAATATCCAAACAGTTAAAAAAATAGCAAAGCACAGGAGAATAGTCAATGCTCTACACTCAGCAATTATACATGCATATGAATAATGAGATGTTAACATACTTCCTAACGAAACAGCTACCTAACAATGACCTTCTACCTATATGAGTGCACTGTAACTCTCAAAGTAAAAAAGTCAGATTCTTAAGTATGTCCAGTCTGTTCCCAAAGTGCTTAGTTCAAAGTTAAGCAATACACAAATGCACCAAAGTATTGGTATAAAATGGACTGTCCCTTACTTTAACCAAGTCATACTGGAATCTGATTATCTATATTGGAAAAGCTAAGGCTTACCTTCTCAACATCATCGTGTTGGGGAACCACCGCAGGTGTATTTACTGTGTGTGTCTTTTCACCCTCCCTGTTAGCTGCAGGCTGGGCAGAGCAGTCCTCACTGGGTGATTCTGGACGCGCTTTACTGAAGGACTGTGACCGCTTCACCACAGCAAGGGCAAAGGGGGAGGGGCCAGAGCTGGAGTAGGGTCGTGGGGCCCCGAAAGTTTTCAAGGTCTTCAGGTTTAGTGATGTCCCCTGACCACCAGGGGGCTTGGGGGCTACAGGGGGAAGAGAGGTCTCAGGAGCAAGAGCCACAGGTTTGGGGGCTACAGGGGGAGGAGAGAGCTCAGGAGGAAGAGCCACAGGCTTGGGGGCTACAGGGGGAGGAGATGTCTCAGGAGGAGGAGCCACAGGCTTGGGGGCTACAGGAGGAAGAGAGATCTCAGCAGGAGAAGCCACAGGCTTGGGAGCTACAGGAGGAAGAGATATCTCAGCAGGCTTCTGGATGAATCCATCGGTTTTTGAAATATTGGACAGCGGAGCAGAATGAGTCCTTTCACTTAAGGGAGAAAGAATTTGCTCTGGAGGGGGCCGTGAGTCTCTCTGCACCTCTTTGGTTGCTGGTTCTTTGGGGGTAGGCCCGGGGGCCGTGTGGACACTCTTAGCAGCCGCAGAAGTCACATAGTGGCCTGACGCTCTCTTCTGCATCTGCAAAAAGAACGAACTTGGTTTGGCCTGGGGATTTGAAGCTCGGGCTCGAAATTTTGACTCCAGAATATTGTTTATGTCTTCCAAATTTGGTGCAAACGGAACGCCGCCAGTGTCCATAGTCACCCTGGGAGGTTTCGGGGGGTTCTCGGCACCAGTAGGTGAGCTCAGAGTCCTCTGCAAAGGGCGCTCTGTGCCTGGGCTGGGCTTTGGTTTAAGGTCAGGCTGAGGCTCCTGGGAGCCTCTGGAAGTAGCAAGGGCGCCTTCTGTTTGCATGGCTGTTTCTTTCGTATTCTCAAGCACATGCTTCTGCCCTGCAGCATGCATCTTTTGACCATCTTTATCCTCCAGTGTTTCCGATTCCCAGGCTTTCACTAGCTCCAGGGATTTGGGAGGCACTATTTTGTATGTTGTCATTCCAATTTTAGGGATATACTCTCTCGTAATTTCATTTGACGGTTTTGGCTTGGGGCTGTAGTCCTGTCTGTAAAGTGGAGAATTCTTTTGGTAAAGAGCAGCTGGAATCTTGTCACTTCCGTCTACAGGAGACAGAGGGCCATCGTTCCCAGCCGCACAAGCTGGCTCTTTCATGGGGAGTCTATCTGGGACATGTGTTGGGGTGCTGGGACTCCTGGATGCCTCTGAGGCCTTTACAGAACCCTGGAGACTCGAGGATGAGTGCTGGGTTGATCTGCTGCTAGCTGAAGTCTGCACACTCTCATCAACCTTGAGGTCAGACGAATTATGGACTGCATGATTCCCATCAAAACTGCTGCAGGCAGGAGTGGCCTGAATTGCCGCATCTTGCATTTTTGTCTTTTCTACGCTTGGTTGATTCATTTTTGGATTAGGTCCTGACGGTGCAGCATTATCCGTTCTACACACAGGGGAGCCTGGGAGTCCACCAGTTTCCACGTCCGCGGCTTTCTCTGGGGCTTTGCCTTCTACAGCAGTTTCTGCTTTCCTCAGTCTGTCTTTCACATGATCTGTGTTTGTGGCACAGACCATAATTTCATTTTGAACTACTGAGAGAAAAAAATACTGTCAAGCATGTATGAAATATATGTGCCTATGTTTGTTTTCTATGACTATTACAAATTTTTCACTTAACACAGATTGGACAATAAACATTCATACACCTTTGCTCTCGTTCTCTTAAAATGTATTATCACACGTTTCTTGAATTCTTTCCTGAGCATTATTCTGTTTTGAAGTACAATCTCATGTTGATATAAAGTGTCTTGATATTTTGTTATGGGCTACAAAGACTTTCTAGGAAGTCATAGGTCCAGGTCCCCGATCCAACACTGTGTGACTTGGCTGGAAAGTCAGGAATACTGAAGTGCATGGCTGGCAGTAATCAAGTAACAAAGTTAAAACAGAAGAAGGGTATCAATAAGAACTGAATGGATGAAATAGATGGAAATAGTTTATAAGGACAGCACAAGTCTACACCAACTGGCAGAAGTAAACTAATTACATCATGAGAAAAATAAGACACTGCCCTTAATTTGGGTGTAAGAATGGGGAAACGGGGCTGGAGAGATGGCTCAGAGGTTAAGAGCACTGACTGCTCTTCCAGAGGTCCTGAGTTCCCAGCATCCACATGGTGGCTCACAACCATTTATAATGAGGTCTGGTGCCCTCATTGTTGTATACATAATAAATAAATAAATCTTACCAATAAAAGAAAAAGAATGAGGAAATGGTGGCAAATGATGTTGCCTACTTATAAGGCTTGAACATCGGGCAGGCAAGTTCCATTCGAAGTGTGGCAATTTGAATACAAAGTAAAAATGTGCCCTGGGGAACGGGGAGGAACTCAGGCCACAGAAAAGATGCACAGAAGAATACAACTTTAAGACCTGAGATTTAAATCGATAGCATCCAAAGATGGAACAACATCATAAGGCGCAGACATGACAGCTACGAGCCCACTCTGGAATTATGCTGTCCATGTTCAAGTCCTCGGTCCATCACTTACTGTGAGACAGTATCTTCAAGAGTAACAGTTCCCAAAATAGTCATAAATGAGACAGATATGAAAGAAGCCAACGCAAAAAAATTTATTCAGCATGTTTTAAGAATAGTCTATGACATTGTGTTGGCCATCAGTATTGGTTTCTAACACTCACCGTGCTCTTGGCTTGATTCCAATGTCTTCAAGTCTCTAATACGGTCAGATACTGTGTCTTCATTGTTCATATCATATATGACAGGATTATTTGGCCCTCTGGAAGACATGACATTGTATATGATATGTGGAGGTTATTCAAACACACCATGAAAAAAAAAACAGGCAATACTTTTTTCAAAGACAGATGGATTGAAATAATCACCCTTTCCTGCCAAATATTAGAACTTTGAGAGCAAAGAAAAATATGACAGAGGAGATGCTGCCATGAAACATTGGCTTCAGTACACTTGTCCTATTGCAAAGGAAGATGCAAGAGGCTTGGTGAAAGGAATGTCTTCCAAATGAATGTCTTTACTTAGCTGTCAGGAGCGATTTTTTTTAAAAGAGAAAAGGAAACGAAAGGGAACATTTTAGTCTCGCATCTGGCAGAACCAACTGCATAAATCAGGATGTGAACTGACCTCACTGACTTTTTTTTTTTTTTTGCTGACTAAAGAGTTTAATTTGGAGACAATCCCACACAAATTTGGTAAAGCTCTAATGAAGACAGCTTATGTTGGTTGTTTGATTTCATCTTTATTCATAGCACTGAAATTCAAACACAGGATTAGTGGACTAGAGACGTTTTAAAAATTCCTGCGTCAGGTGGACAGTACTGCTTGTATCTCAGTCTTGACTATAAACAATGCTGGTGGCTTAGTCTACTTCTAATCTGGGGAGCATTTTCACGGTCTAGGTAGTGAAAACCCTCAGATGCATTCAGTACAAAGTCAAAACTCAATGCTTTATTTGGGTCAAACAGATAATAGACAAGCAAACAGACGGAAACATTTTAACTACAAGTGATGGTTTCCTGACATGGGGATACTATGCCTCTTGAATTAGGTTTCATTTGAACACACTTACATGTAGCTTGCTATCTTATTAGTAAGGATTTCCCAAGGACAGTATGAGAGAGAAACTATAAACAAAATGGTCAACCATAATTAAGCTTAAAATACCAGTTTTCTCTCAGAACAAACCACCACCACCACTCGTGGCCTAGAAACTACTTACTTTCCCTCTGTGTTTCTGCCTTCTTGGCTTTGTCCCTTGGAGCTTGGGGAGGCCTCTCCATCACTAAGGCTGAGCGCTGAGTCAGGATCATTCTCCAACACATTTGTTCTATCAGTAGATTCCGAAGGGACGTCAGGCAATTTCACAGAACCACTTCCGGCCTGATCTTTGGATGACTCACCCAGTTCTTCCTTTTCATCTATCTCTTCAAGACTATAATCAGAGCTTACACCAGCTACAAAGAAACGCAGATTCAATCCTAAATATTAACCGGCCCTTTTCATCATAAGCAATCTAGCAAGGAGGGGGTATTTATAATAATAATTAGCATTTTAAAATGTGGCTCGAAACTAAGAGTGAAATGTTTTTCTAATGATAAATGGTGAGGGTCCCCTGGAAGCAGACCACCTCACACGGATGTCATCCTAGAACCACGTTCTATCACTCTGGGCTTTCGTCACGGAAGGTTAATCTTACAAATGTCACATAACTGCATTTAGAAATCAATACCTTTGATTAGGTAACTTTAGAGGCATGCGATAATAATGTGAATTAAACAAATTAGCAACTTGAAACTCAGATTAATAGAACATTTTTGTACTAGTATGCCCTCGGACTGCCTCAGCAGGTATTAGCACTAACTGCAGTTGAGAGGACCTGGGTCTCCTTTTGGAAATCCTGATGCTCACATACATTCTGCTACTAAGTTAGATTCCTATGACAGGGGGTCAAGCATTGTGAAAATTCTTTACGAGTTTCTAATGTGCAATTTATATTAAGAGTCACTTATCTTACTGCTTAGTGTAATTTTTAATAAAGGAAAACAAAGATCAAATACTGCAAATTAATTTTTATTCTCACTCAAGATTTTTTTTCTCCTCTTAGATATGATATACTAGCCCTCTAACTTTACACATGCTAGGTAAGACTTTGCTACATACTGAGCTATGTGCACAGCCATGTTATAATATTGTTCCCAGTCAGTTTCCCAGATTGGCCTTGAATATGCTCTGTAGCCCAGGGAGGCTTAGATGTGCAATCCTCCTGCCTCAACTTCCGGAGTAGCTAGAATTACAAATCTGAGGCAGCAGACCCAGTTCCAGCTTTTCCTGCCATTTTGGGATCTCTTGCTTATTTCGTTTCATTTTTCCTTTGTTGTTAAGGTAGAATCTTCTGTTTCCCCGGCTGGCCTCAAATTCTTGTACCCCGAGTGCGGGGAAATACAGGCACAATCCACTACATCTAGCTGAAGCAACTTCCTCTGACACTTTCTCCTGTGCTCCAGAAAGTATGACGTACACACACAAGCGGGCAGCCACACTCCCATTACTTCTCTTCATCTCAGTTTAATGTAAAATCAAGTATGTTATACTCAGTGTTCTAAAGCGGCCCCCACCACTTACTATATTTAAATCTTTTCCCATACCGACACAAATGTGTGTGGCAGCCCTTCTCAACGGTTTTGGACAATATCTCATCCTACAAGAATTTCTTTCTATCATTATTTCTTACTGCCCACAACCAATGGCAGCAGGGTCAGAAAAGGAGACATTCCAGCAACAAAGTGCTCATCGTCCTTGCCAACATTAACTGTGAAAGTCAAGCTACCCATGAGGCTCAACACTTTTGCTTAAACAAATTGAACATTTCCATTTATGTGACAGTATCCGAGTGAAGCTTAATTTAACCTGGAGAGAGGGCAGTAAGGTCGTATGCTATTGCTCCAGTAGACAGACCACCCATAAACCATACCAGGAGTTGAACTGTAGTGTTAGACAGGAACATGTGTCAACTTCTGATCTTTGAAAAACAATATGAGCCAGGAGTTAAGTCACATACTTTTAATCCCAGTCCTGGAGAGGCAAAGGCAGGTGGGTCTCTATGTGTTTCTGGACAGCCTGGTCTACAAAGAAAGTTCCAGGCCAGCTTGGGCTACAGACCTTGTCTCAAAAAAAGAAAAGAAAAGAAAAGAAAAGAAAAGAAAAGAAGGAAGGAAGGAAACAAGCCAAGTGCTGGTGTTAGTACAGCTGTTTCATTCACAGATATTTGAGTACTCACAAAAGTTAAGGAATTTGAATTTACCTAAGTTTGAAACACATAAAGATGAAATGCAACTAATATTTCAAGGAATGTGTTTGCTGCATTTGAACTGTCAAACTATTAAACTTAACATTTAAATATGGTCTTTTCATATGCCATGTGTTTTTCCTGGTTATCAACAAAATAGAAAAATTGCTTGACAGATACTGTGCCTCTGGTAAAATATAGCTCTATGAAATCAATCCTAAACACACCTCTCTTTGTAGTCAGCACCGTACTATGACTACGGATGGATGAGTTCAAACTTAACTGTCCAGTTTACAGCTTAGAAATATTGGAGTAATTTCCCCTTTGGAGGCGATTACCACGATGGAATCTGTAACACTGAAGGTCTTGTGTGTATGTGAGCTTTAATTTTTCTTGAAAAAAAAAATACCCATGGCAATATTTGTTGATCATATAGGAAAAATGAGTGTGCACATTTCATTTTAAATTTACACCATTATAAATATCATTAAAGGGTATTTAATGATAGCAGAGTGGGAGATCCCTGCCCCCTTAGCATGCAGGCCTGGCAGGAATCTCCACCACCACCCCAAAAAACTTCTCATCAAACTCTTTGCCAAAGTCCGCAAACAACTCTACACTATCACAAGGAGCCTGTGACAGCGTACTATTTTTAAATGACTAAATTGAAATGATAAGGGGCTTTTTTTGAGTCATTATAAAGTGAGTACATTTACGAGGAGATCCAAATATTATGCAACTCTAATGCTGTTCTATCCTAAAACAAAATAATCCTACTTTTAAAAGAGAAAAGGCATCTGAGAATAACATGAGAAAAAAAATAAGTCATAAGTCACACAGCTCATATGGGAAGTTCAATAAAGAATACTTGGAAATCTTCTCTTATATGTTCATGGGAGATAATAAAGTCCAAGGAGCCCTTCCGAACAATGCAAGCCAGAGTGATCCTCAGAGCCACTGAGCAACTTCTTTTCTGCTATGCCTTACTTATTTAGATAGTGAAGGAAAACTGCGCATTTCAAACCTGCACAAAGGTGGAGACACTTACTTACTTACGAAAGGTTTTACAGAGTATAATAAGTAAACTGATCTCTACTCAATGGCACCTTCCTCTGCATATACCAAAGCCACAGCCAGTCAAGGCCTGAGCACCTACACGTCAAGGATGCTACAGCTGCCTCTGGAGTTCCAGGGCCCTCAGAGAGCGAGAGTTCATCCGCCGGCTTGGGCACAGTACACTGCTCCTGGCTTAGGAACCGGGGGCCAGGGGAGCCATCTGCCAAGGAAGGAGAGTCTGTGGAAATGGCACTTAGACAAGAGAGTTAAAAAACAAAGCAAGCAGACATCAGGACGCAGTGGGAAGTCAGTGCTGTTAGCTCACATTTACCCATGGAGTAGCTCTGAAAAGGGAAAGCAAGAAGCAGACATGGGACCAAGTTTGAGGAGCCTGCCCATCTTTCCGAAACATCAAAACCTTCCAATTCCACAATATATTTTATGTTGACAACAGCCTCTGATAAATTTCCTGTGTGGAATGAGATGGTCTTGTTGAGCCTGTTCTAAGGGAAAAAAAAGGCACTACTACTTATATAATAGCAATGTCTTAAATCATAAACAGGATTCTTCTGTGACTTAAAAATCTCAAATTCCTAAGCACCGAGTCAAGATTCAAGGTCAGCGACTCCTAAACTCATTCAACTTTGTGAATAAAAATGGGACAATCAAGGTACTCATATCTGGCAGCATCTCCATGCTAATGTACTTGAGGTATTCTTTTCTTCCTAAGGCAGGGTGGCCTGGTACTATGGATCCCCTGCTTCAGCCTCCCAAGTGCTACAATTCCAGATGCACATCACTACCCGCAGCTCCTAGTCCTTCCTACAAAAGCTACTAAGTAGTTACTATTGAACTATTAAAAACAGATCGAATTGGTTTTTTTTTATTTTTTTAACCTCATTTACTTGGGGAGAACCCATAGTGAGGGCTATGTTATAGAAAGTATTTGCATGGGAAAAAACAATTCATCATGAAAATAGGACAGCGTGAATGCTGAATTCATACCCGAAGCAGCTGTTGAAAGAGACTGTGTTGAACTTTAAGTCTCTGAAACAAACCAAAGAATCTCCCCACTGTCGTGTGACTCTACATAGAAGGAGCTGTCCACTAGATAGTGCATAAGGAAAACAGAGAGAGCACTCAGGGTCCAGCTCTAGAACTGGAACTTTCATCGCTGCCAGTTTCTTATCCTGGCGTCTAATCTCCAGGGGGAGGAAACAAAGAACTCATTTCATAGACCAAAAGGGGAAAAGAGGTCAAAGTATTCCAATGTTTCAGTATGAGGAGAATTCCGGTTAGACTCATTCCTCTTGTCAAGGCATTTCTTTCCTTCACAATGGCAGTGTGCAGCGACGAGAGTCATACCTGGGCTGGACAGCACCTCAGGAGAGTCTGCTTCTAAAGCGCTGTCGGGAGCAACTCCATCTTCTGGAAGCAGGGCTGAAAGATGCATAATGAGTCACACTCAGATGAGAAACGACTCCTGAGCAATTTCCTGCTTATCACTTAATCCAGGAAGGATGAACTTAAACCACGCAGCTGTGAAATGACTACATGCACCGCACCCTCCATCCCCACTCCTACGGAGTGAAACCCGGAATCACAGTATCTTCTGAATTAATCTGCACACTGTTCGCACACTCATTACGATAATGAAGTGGTATAATTTTGCCATTTTTCATTGCAGACTTTCCAGAAGCACTTAAGCAATAATAATAATCAGGCTATTTTAGAAGTGAGTGTGTGTGTGTGTGTGTGTGTGTGTGTGTGTGTGTGTGTGTGTGGAGAGAGAGAGAGAGAGAGAGGGAGGGAGAGAGGGAAAGGGAGAGAGGGGGAGAGAGGGAGAGAGGGGGAGAGCGCGCAAAGTGCACATCCTAAGTTCCAGTTCAGTTCCCAGGGACAGAAGCAGACAAATCTCTGAGTCTGAGGCCAGCCTGGACTGATTAGGGAGTTCTAGGCCACCACATATATATATATATATATATATTGAAAGTCTGTTCATAAAGGGGAAAAACAAAAAGCTATGTCTCACTGCTTTATGACTGTATTAGAACACAAAGCCAATGTAGTAGAATACCATTATCAGACGCAAGGCTGCTGTCATCGTTCTGCAGGGGTGTTTTCGAAGGTGGGGCGGGTGCTTTTCGCTTTGTTCTTTTCAGAGACAAAGTTCCTGACGAACTACTGAGCTGCAGGGACCCTGTCCTCACCATGACCCCGTCCGTGGAACTCTGTAGGAAACAAAATGGCCAAAGAATCCTATATTTAGCAATCAAGTACAAAACTTCAGGCATGGCCCTGACCTCTAGGGCAAACATGTCAAATACAAAACGCACCACAACGGCCTTCATCCACAAGTATTTGTGGAGCATCTGTCGTGTACAGATGGTAGACAAGGAGATGGACACATAAAGAAACAAAAACAAATGGCTCTTCTTTAAAAAAAATTAACCTAGCATGGGACTGACACAGAAACACTGTACAAGACTTCAAAGGGACATAATTAAAAGCAAATTTTGGAGGAAAATTCTGGAGAAATTATTAGATGCAAGGGACAGTGTGGAAGGGGCTGGGGAGGTGGGCCAAAGGGTAGCGCTGCTGCAGAAGCGTGAAGCATTGAGCCTGGATCGTTAGCATCAACTTAAAACCCACACATGGTGTCCCACATCTGTAACCCCAGTGTGTGGGGGGGGGAGGGGGCGAGGAGAGGAAACCAGTGAATCAAGTCTCACTGGGCAGCCAGTCAAATCAACTCATGAGCTCAGGATTCAGTGGGAGGCCCTGTATCAAAGAAATTAAGGTGAAGTGCACAAAAATAAGATACCTACCACTAAGCTCTCCACATACATGTATAAGGTAGTGTGCGCGTGCGTGTACACACAAAGGAGAAAGGAAGGGAAGGTAGTTGCATATTAAGGGCTGACTTAGGGTCCCAAGATGGGTTAATGGGTAAAGGCTCTCACTTCCAAGCCTGATGACTTGAATGAGAGACTCGTGGGATCTATATGGTGGAAGAAAAGACTGACTTTTGCAAGCTACCTCTGACCTCCACAAGTGCAACGTAGCACACATGCATTTGTGGGACAGGCATGCATGCACACATACACACACATAAATATAAAACAAAATTAAAGAGTTGATTCAGTATGAAGGCATACGTGGAAAAACGTAAGAAAAATCTATGTGCGACACTGAACTGGAAAGGAGAACGGAAAGGATGCCATGAGGGAAGGATGGGGGAGAAGAATCAACTAAAACACATTTATTCAAGAACGTCATAATTGTAGCTAATATATGTATTATATTTAAAAAATAAAATGCTGAAAACCACAAAAAATACCTGTATACATGCAAGCATGCATACATACACGAATATACATCCCCTTCACACATGGCCTCCTTTCCACTTCCACGCCACATGCCGATTTTTATGTGTTTCACGTATATCTTTCTACCAAAAAATCTAGATTTGAGCCAGCTCTTTACATTTTTTTTTACATTTATTTAGTGCATGTGTGCATGTGGGTATGTGTATGTACATGTGTATGTGCACACCTGTCATACCTAACAAAGTCATGTGTGCTACATTGTGGAGGCCAGAAGGCAGCTTGAAACATGATTCAATCTATTCAATCTACCTCTCTCTCTCTCTCTCTCTCTCTCTCTCTCTCATCTATCTAGATCTATCTATAGACAGACACACAGAAAAACAGGCATACATATACAGAGAGAGGCAAGCCCTCTGAGGTCACCTGCCCCACAGCAGGTGACTGTCAGTGGACACTAAGACAAGCATCACCCAGCAGGATGGCTGATGCCTCCAGGCAACTGCCTCACCTTCTTTGTTTCTGCCCCTTACAAGAAAACTGCTTCACAGACATGTATATATAGTTCAATCTCCTACTTTGTACTGGAATCCCTCCAACTAAAATTTTCCAAACTTTTGATCCATTATTACTTTTGCTCAAAAAAATGAACCCACCAAACCTGGCCATAAGTGACATGATAGTCATGTAACACACTCCTTGACTTGACCTGCGCAGCACTAAGGATAGATGAGCACTGCTATTCAAACTTCGCCTTCCCCGTGAGATGCCACTCCCTACTCTCCACAGCCCCACACCACGGCTACTCCATTTTGCTGTTCTTTACTGTTCATCTCCTGAAGAACACCTGTGGGACTCTCTCACACTATGTAATTCGTTTTAAGTGTCTATGTTCATTCTCCTGGCAACCCCACAGTTCTCTGGATTTTAAGCGTTCCTGACATAATCATGAACCCCAAACTCAGTGTCTGCTGCAGAAGATGTCACTGTTCCAACCCTATGAGATGTCTTTAGAACCTGATCCAGGGGCTAAATCTTCCAGCTCCACTAAAAGCTTTAAGGATACTCGATGCTGGCATGTCTCCACCTGAGCTCTTGACAACCACCACTCTTCCTTCATCCCCACAGCTGTTTCCCTCACAGTCTTCACAAGCCTTGGCAATGAGAAAGCTGTGCTTCCATCTTCCAACCGCCTCACCCACTCTCTCCACCCACACTGCCTCTGGTCTGTTGGGTCTTTCCTTAACATCCAGCACCCAGATGCCATCTATCGCTCTCTGACTGAGAACTGTCTAAATGGACTTCATTCTACGCCACTTCATATCAATAAAAGGACTTTCTTGATAAGATGCACATCACAGTGAGCTCCTTTACTCAAAATCCACTGATGGCTTTTTTGTTGGCCCAGAAAAAAATTCTAAGATCTCTCTAATAATCTCCTTCTCCACGATGGCTGACTCAGATCAGCCACACTGCCTTCTTGCTGTCCCGACCTCAGGGTGGCTCCCTTTACTGTTCTCTGGGTCCAGAACTCTCTTCTGATAACACAGGATCATATCCCTCATTCTCTGTTGGTTATTTCTCATGTGGCACCTCCTCAATGAAGCCAAAAGCTTACACCTGCTCCCCAGCTTGATGCCTGTGGACTAGCATTTAATAGTGTTCTCGCATACTACAGAGCTGGATTAATTGTTCAATGTCAATTTCCCCTCCATAAGACCAAAAGGGCAGAGACTTTCTTTTTTCTAATTATGCCCACTGCTGTATTACAACACCAATATCTGACTCATAGAAGTTTTATAATTATTATAAGTAAGAAGCCGAGGTGAACTTGAACTAAGAATACATGCATTATCTTGGGTCAATCAAATTAAAATAATTAAGTACATTAAAGGGTAATGAACAAATTCATAGAAAATTTTCAATCCTTGTACCTTGCTATTAATCAAGAAAAATTTAACAAATTTACTATTTCGGAATTTTAAAAGATTCTTCCAGATTAACCTCCCAAGACAAGGAAAGAAAATAGAAAGGCTTGATTTAGACCCTGGATCAGGTTCTAAAGACATCTCATAGGGTTGGAACAGTGACATCTGCAGCAGACACTCGGCCACACAAATCTCTCTACCCAGTCCTTTTATAAAGGGGATAGGACAGCAGCAGCGTATCCGCCACGCTGAGGTAGCCAATAGCTAAACAGCCACAGCGCTTGGGAAAATACCAACAGCCAAACCCAAGCCAGCCCCTACCAAACACTACTCCCCTCCTCTCTCCACGAGGCTTGAGACCTCTCCATAGCCTTGCAAGAAACGAGCTACGATGTGCACCCAAGTCCACCTTTGGATTCAGAGCCACTAACGTCAATTCTGACTAAGAATTGCAATCAGACCCCTTGGGAGGGCATGCAAGTGCATCCTGAACGGACTTATAAAATAATTCAAGGACCTCCTGTGACAAAGAGAAGGAAACGCGGGACCTGGTAGTGTTTAAACACCACTTTCAGTGGAATATGAAGTATAAAAAGCTTCTACTGATGCCTCTGTATTCTGAACCCTTTTATCTCATGTCCCGTGAAAAGACATGAAATTCTCCTGAGGTCAGTCAAGGGGAGGTTGGCAGGCAGTGTTCTCCATCCTGGCCAGGAGGCAGTGCCTGCTCAAGTCACCCGGTGTTCGAGGCACGACAAGGCTTGTGTTCTTTGAAGATGTAAAAAACTGAAAGATGGTTCAACCATTCAGTGCACGTGCTGATCTTGCAGAAATCTAAAGTCTGGTTCCCAGTACCGACACCGGGTAGCTCACTGCCACCTGTTACCTCAGCCACAGGGACTCAGAGGCCCACGCCAGGCCTCCATAGCTGAGCAACACTACTGGGACCATAACTGTGTACGAACGAGTACCTCCACATGTGTATTTTAAAGGGCTCTGGCTGTGGTGCTTGAAACTACTTCAAGAACTAAACTGTGGCATATGATAACTGGAAGGAAAAGCGAAGAACTGCAAAGAAAACAACGAACACAGGCAAATGATGAAAATTCACATGGAATGTGATTTTGACATACACGCCATATTATATAGAAAAAGGTACCCAATGCAGACATCATCAGCGAACGCTCAAATTCTAAAAAAAAAAAAAAAACCTGACATTTCACTTCTTAAAGTATTTACCCCAGAGCTGAAATAATCAGGTGTAATTTCTTGATGAATTCACTTCTTTTGGCAGAGCCCTAGTGGTACGCCGTTCCCACCGCAGTCCAGGTTCATCAGTGAGAATACGGTAGATGATCCAATAACTCTGAGACGAGGGAGCAAGAGACACTGTGGTTTGCCTTCCGGTCCCAGGCTCCTGGAGCTTTGACCGATTGCTTCCATGATTGTATAATAAAGTCTCTCACCTCTAGGCTGCATCCCCTCCCTATCAATGTCTCTGAGAAGGTCTCTTTCATCACCTGATAAATGCAGTCATGACATGACTGTTCTCAGGGAAGAGTATGTGGTTACAGCCAGAACTCTTAAATGTGAGAAAGAGAAGTATAATAAAGCAGATGACAGGAATAAAAAAGGGAGGAATTTTTCTACACAGGCTCGAAAATTTATACAACCCTATCTGTAACTCGAAGAGAATACGCAAAGATTTATTTATCAGGCTGGAGGTCGCAAAAGCAAGCTAGTATTTTTACACACGATATTTACATTTCTAGGGATAAGGAATTTAAAACACCATCAAAATGAGATAGACTGCAGTTTTATAAATGGTTTAAATTTTTTCAGTACTATTTATGAAGCCAGTTGACAGGGAAAACACAGACATCCTAGGAAATGTTTTATGGCCTTATCCTGTGAAAGTCTCATCATTAGCCGGCAGAGAAGATAGAAACACAAATTCCTAAAGATACAACACGGATA